GTGCTAGGATTACAGGTGTATGCCACCACGCCGGGCCAGCTGTGCTTTTCATTATGCCACGCTCACCTCCACAATCCCTCACACTCACCCACACAGCTACATACACCCACATGCGCTCACACTGCACACACTCACACACTCACTGGCACGCTCACATTGCCCCACACGCTGCTGGAGTGGAAGCAGCTTGAACCCCTGGAGAAGAGGCAGAGCAGCCCCTTGGGATTCCCCCAGAGTCGTTCACATTCAGGTTGGTGCACAGGGTGAGGGTGGTGGAGCCTCTGAGCAAGCAAGGGCCGTGGAGTGTCCGCGTGTGAGCGGCCTCCTGCAGCCCCCTCCCCGGCACCCCAGACTGGCACAGCCCTCCCGCACATGCACGCACATGCACATCGCTGGTCCTTACCCTGCCCTGGGCCTGATGAGGGGCCGCTGCACTCCTGTCCCACCACGGTTCAGTGAAGAATGGATTCACTGTCCCTGCTCCAAAGGGCAGCGCACACTCATGGGAAAGGAGACCTCAAGCTAACAGCAAGGCAAGGCAGGTCGGGGCAGCACCCAGGGTCTCCTCTAAGGGCTTTAATACGAATCTCAGCCCCAGCACTTCCTTGGTGACCTAGAGCATTACCACCTCCCTCCACCATGATTCTCCCTCTAAAAATGGAGATAATTATAGCACCCCACCACGGATTTAATAAGACGAATAAATGGGACCCAATGCACTATTGTTCTGGCACGGAGCAGTCTGTGTTGGCTGCTGTGAGTTGAAAGCAGTGGCATTATGTTTATGGACGATATTGCACTAACATTATAATGATACAGCAGTATAATCAGATTAGTCACAGTGTTGATGGCAGCAGAACCGAGAGCCTACTAGGAAGCGTCTCCCAGAGCCTCCCCTGTGCGCTCCCAGAGGCCCTGCGCCCAGCATGCCCCCAGCAATTTAGGCCACAATCCTGGTCCTGCAGACTGACCAGGAGCTTGGAGACTTAGACTTCAGGAAAAGGGCGAGGGTAGAGGATAAGCAGAGTCCAGGAGGCTGAGGAGATTGTGGGAGGTTTGGACAGGGAAGGAGGGACCGAAACAACTGAAATGGACACTGTAGACCAACAAAGTCTGTGACAGGCATGGAGAGTGACCTCCTCCTGATTGCTCTGGGAGGGCGCTGTCCTGGGGACTCTCCAGGAACTGAGCAGGGGTAACACGCCGGTTCTGGTTCCAGCTCAGACCCGGGCCAGTGATTGGTTATGAAGCACAGATGTGTCCTCAGGGCCCAGAGGCATGGTTTAATGAGACTAGTGATTCTACCACGGGCGAAGCTCTCTCAGCCTGATGACACCGGTCTGCACAGAGCAGCCTTGAAGCACAGGGTCCTGAGCATCGGTACTAGCGTGTAGGGCTGAGCACCTGCAGATGCTGGCCAGGCCACCTTCCTGAGTGTGTTCTGTGGGCTCAGCCCTGGAACCCATCTGAGGGAACTGAGTCCTGTGAGCATCAGAGAGTTCCTCTGTTTCTTCATCGGTAAAATGGTGATGATGGGAAGACCGTACGGTGGGGTAGCTGAGAAGACAGGACCCATTCATACATGTGACATACCGTGGCAGTGCCGCAGACAGAGCTCTGTGTCAAGCACTAGCTCTTTAATGCAAGGTAACTGATACTGTGACTCTTTCCAGCAGCCTCCCCCAGACCTGTGTGCCACTTGCAGACTGAAATCCATCCGTATGTTATGGCGTCCATGTGGCCTCTGTCTGTCAGGGCTTTTCTGGGCACAGGTCCCTGGACACCCACATCACACTCAGCCGTAGCCCCATGTACACAGCCCGAATCTCAAGGGCAAACACGGGAACTTCCAACTCCCACCCCATGGAACTCTGTGTCTACGCCAACCTCCTAGAAAAACTGACCTGGCTGATCTGCCGTGTGGACAAATGAGAAATCGGGACTCAAGGGGCCTCGGTTTGGGGCAGGGTGGCACATGGCTCTTTGGGCAGAAGCCTCAGTTCTGCTGGGGGACGCTTCACCACCTCTGCCTTGTCTCGGGGACCTCGTAGTGGGTCCACCCCACGCAGACTGGCACGCGCACCTTTCATTCACTGAGTTCCTCTTTCTCTGTGGTTTCAGTTGTTCCTGGTCCGCCAGGACGGCAGCATAAAGCGCCTGGTGCTCTGCGTCCACGTCCCTTCCCCAAGTGACTGCTCCTCCGCGGTGCTGGAGTATCCCATCAGAGAAGAGAAATCGAGTAAGTGCCGCCCTTCTCGCTCCGACTTCAACCTCAGCAGGAGCAGCAGATGCAGCACCTGCCATCCCCAGCCTCTCCTCTCCATACCACAGCGTTTAAATTAGACGGCAGGGAGAACTTTCAGTCCGCTGATGCTACTGGACCAGGCTTGCTCTGAACTCAGCCTGTCTCTCAAAAGTCAATGTTAATTTCCACTGCCCCCCATCACGGCTTCTTGGCTGTACATCTTCGAAGCCACAGTGCAGTGTCCTCTCATTAGCTCACCACAAGGACACTGGAGAAAAGGGAAGACAGCAGGAGGACACGCTTGGCCCTCTGTGTCCTAGTGTCAGTGTGGCACCCAGTCAAACCTTGGTCTGGGACGTGTTTCTCAGACGCTCTGAACCTCCCTTTTCTCTTCTGTGAGATGGACATAACAATCACCACCACACTTGTATTACAGAGCTTTGTGAGGGTCACATGGGCAGACATTTTGAAGACAAAAGTCTTGTGCACACACAGAGCTGCCAGAAGCGCACCTAAGCCTCAGTGGGCAAATGTTTGGGGCTCCTGATCCAGGGTGGGTTTGTACTGATCGATAATATTTTTGGCTTGAGCCCCTTCTGGGCTGCGGGACTCACCCATCTGAACCGGCGTCCCTGTCCTCATGGGCCACATGTGCCCAGGCCGGGTGTTAAATCCCAAAAGTGTATGCGAAGAATCCATGGAGTATTCCAGGCATCAGCTCATCTCCCCTTAGAAAGGGACACTGGGTGCTGCATGAGGCTTCTTACCCTTAATCAGCAGCAGAGTGACAGCAGTTAAAGAAGGGCCGTGAAATATTCGCAAGCTTTTGCTTCTCAGGGAGCACTTGCGCCAACAGGGGAAATGCACAGATGAGTAAGAGAGTGGCTGGCCTTGAGGGTCCAGGCTGGTTGGAGGGCAGGGGACACATCAGGTGGGAGAGACAGGCATGACTTGCTGCGCGGTGTGGCAGGTGTTATTGCAAAGGGGCTCCTGTGAGGGGTGCAGGGGTACAGGTCACTGTAGGGAAGATTCAGGGAGGATGTCTATGGGCAGGGTACATTCCATCTGGGTTCCAAAGGTGCTTATATTAATCCAATTAAAGGCTAATTTCTTAGAAAGGGAAAGCAGAAGCACATTCCCTTTCCTGCTGGAAGATGATCTTCTCAGAGTCATAGGCCCATAGCATGAGTAAAATACATCTCACTCGTTCATGTATTGGACACATATGGGGTGTCCACTCTATGTCAGCCCCTTCCACTCTTGGGGGACATAGGTGGAGGGAGGGGAACAATATCAAATTACAGTGTACAGTGACTGTCAGATGAGAGTCAAGCCAAGGGGAATGTGAATCACAGAAGAAGTAGCCAGCTGCTTTAGTAAGAGTAACAGTTTAAGCTGGGCATAGTGGCACACCACTGTAATCCCAGCACTCAGGAGGCTGAGGCAGGAGGATCGCTGTGAGTTCGAGACCAGGCTGGGCTACATAGTGAGTTCCAGGTCAGTCTCAACTACATAGTGAGACCCTGTCTCAAAAAAAAACAAAAAAACAAACAAAAAAAGGAGTAATGGCTTAAACCTGGAAGAAGCCAGTTTCTGCTCACACTCAAAAATTGTCATCATTCAGGGTCCTCAGCTGACAAAGGTTTTAAGCATGCAGCTTCCATTTCCCAGGGTTGGATCCAAGCCAATAGTCTAGAGAGGGCAAGAGTATGGAGAAGGCTTGTGTGTGAGTCTTACTTTCAAGGCCTAGAAGGGGTGTGTCACCTGTGCCCCCATATTCCATTGTCTAAAAGTCAGTCACATGACCACACCTAATGGCAAGGGAGACTGGGAAATGTAGTCCAACCCTGTGTCTAGGAAAAAGGAGAGAGCCAGATTTAGTGACCCACTAAGACTCTGCTCACTGAGGGGACAGGGAGTTTGAGGTTGGGTAAAAGGTTGTTGATTTATATGGCCAATTTAAATGATCCCTCTGTCTATGGAGAGTAGGAGGAAAGAAAGTGTGGGGTTCTCCAACAGAGAGTGGGAAGCGTTAGGATTTTTCTCTGATGACTGCAGAAAGGGATGGAGTTGTTTGGGGCATCTACTTCTGACTAGGGGAAGGTGTTCTCCCCAGGTGTCCTTGGGGCTTCACAGATCCAGGGTGTGCTTGTGTTCCCCTGAGAGATGACGGGCAGCCGGTCTTCTTATGGACCAGATGGGCCAGTGCGTGGAAAGTAACCAGACTCTCCGGGACTTGGCTGCCAGGCACTAGTTACCTGCAGTCCTTTAGGAACCAAGAGCCAGCTGAGCCCTTGAATTTCAATATGGTCACTGGGGAGGTGGCTGAGAGTGAGGAGTGCTGATGTGCTGTAGGAGCCAGAGGAGGGAGTATTGATCAAGGACAGGCCACCAGAAGGCTTCCTGGAGGAAATCCAGGGGAATGAAGCTGGACCTGCATGGAGCCTGTTTGTAGTTCTGCTCTTCTTTGTCTCCCACAATCTGCCCCAGCCCTCAGGGTCCTCCCACCACACCCCTGAGATGTATTATCTGGTTTCTGTGTTTCATTTCCAATTAGAAGCCTTTGGAAGGAAAACCAGAACTGGACAGTAGCTATGAGGGAAATAACAGATTTTATTCACAAGCATTGCAATGGGAAAAGGGATGTCAGAGTAGAGCTGGCCAATTTTGAATTCAGTATGAACAAGCAGGAATTTATAGCCGAGGAACTGGATAGGGGTCAGTAGATGGAAAATAACTGCAAGAAAACTGAGGGTAAGGAGAGATTCTGGCTAAACTGATCTAACAGGATTCTTGCTGATCAGGCTTGGGGGAGGTTGGAGGGCCAGAAACTCATCAGATATAGTGATCAGACAGCCAGGGTGGAGTGGGGGTTGTCCCTTGCTGAACTGATGGAGCAGTTACTTGCAAAAACCAGATTTTACAAGGATGTACACAGAAGAGCCTGGGAGAAGGGCCAGGAGCTGATTAGTTTGGTGAAGAAGTTTTGTCGCACCCAAGGGACAAACCGGAGCATTCAGGAAAGGAAAGAGCTTATTTCCCTAAGGTCTGGTCTTCTTCCCAGGGCCATGTGATAGAATCTTGTTTTCTGTTGTAAAAATTTTAAAAATACAGTGCTCAACCTTGCTGAAAAGATAATCAGAACGAAATCAGTGTCCAACCTCTTCCAATCTTAATTCATGCACATTCACCGTGAACACCGAAATGTCCCCTACAAGTTTGCTGGTGTTTTATTTTGCTTTCTTGATTATATTGCTGTTCCCCAGGCCTCCTGCCACTGAGGTCCATCACCAGGCAGACCCAAACAATACCCAGAAAGCCAGAGGTGGTTCAGTCTCCCTGTCCTGTCAGTTCACTGCTGCCACCCCTCTGCTTCACACCATACCTCCCCCCTTAGCATGAGGACCCAGTGCAGAGCGCGGAAGCCACCCAGTCTGCTTGAATGCTGACTTTACCTCTTACGGCCTGTTCAACCATGAGCAAGATCCACTGCCTCTCTAGGTCTCCGTGTCCTTGTGTATGAGATGGGGACACTGAGGGTGCCTCCCTCTAGGGCCACCATGAGGAGTGAATGTGCCCAAAGTGTCTAGGAGTTGAGACCCCGTGGCTCAACTGGTGGCTGCCGGGGTGAGTGGCTGAGGAGGAAGTGAGAAAGGGAAAGGCCCAGGCCTGGAACTGGGCTTGTCTTTGGGTTCCCCATACAGAGTGGAGGTGAAGGAAGAAGACTGGGGATGTCCCAAAAGCCCGTGGTCAGCCTCATCCACAGCCCCAGGCTTTGATTTGAACAGGAAACACGTACTTTAACCACCTCTGTGCTGATCATCCTGTTTCTTGTGCAGAGTTTCTTTGAAAATCCCTGAGCCAGTCAGTACCATGAGTCTATTTCTCACTCATGTGAGCCACTGGCTGAGTTCTTTACCGTAACATCCCTTGCAGCGTGGCTGAGGGGTTGGCTCCCATCTGTCCATGAGGATAGTGTGGTTTGGTCCCCACAGGAAGTGAGCCGCCGGGCACTCAAGGAGGAGACAGCAGGCAGAATTCCATGATGACTCTGAAGGTCCCACTCAGAGATGGCAGATGCCACTCTCCTTCACATCTCTCTGGCTAACACAGGTCATGTGGCCAGGCCAGACACTGATGGATGAGAAGTGTAATATTCCTGCACACCTATGACCAGCAGGGAGGTAGATAGAGATTCTTCTGAACAAGTAATGTTTTGGGGAGGGGGCTATGGAGAAGGGGTGCTAATGTGGAGATGGGGGTACAGGATGAAGGAGCAGGACACTGGATGGTAGAGGCTGGGTGAGCTTCTCCATGTCAGCCCTGCCCTTTGGTGCCTGAAATGCCCACCAGGAAGACATTACATGGTGAGGATCCCTTGTCTGAAATGCTTGGGACCAGAAGTGACTTTTCCTGGACTTTGGAATATTTACACATACATAATAAGATGTTTTGAGGAATGGAACCCAAGTTTAAACATGAAATTCATTTGTGTTTCATATACGTCTTATACACATAGCCTGAAAGTAATTTTATACCATATTTTTAGTTCACCAGCAATTTGACTCTGACCCATCACAGGGGGTCAGGTGTGGAGTTTTCCATACATGACATCACTCAAAAAGTTTTAGATTTTGGCCTGGTGTGGTGGTGCCTATAATCCCAGCACTCAGGAGGCTGGTGCAGGAGGATTGCTGTGGGTTCGAGAAGACTGGGCTCTATCCCTTGTCTGAAATGCTTGGGACCAGAAGTGACTTTTCCTGGACTTTGGAATATTTACACATACATAATAAGATGTTTTGAGGAATGGAACCCAAGTTTAAACATGAAATTCATTTGTGTTTCATATACGTCTTATACACATAGCCTGAAAGTAATTTTATACCATATTTTTAGTTCACCAGCAATTTGACTCTGACCCATCACAGGGGGTCAGGTGTGGAGTTTTCCATACATGACATCACTCAAAAAGTTTTAGATTTTGGCCTGGTGTG